AAATTGTTATGAAGTTTATGTAATGGAATATTTATTGTGTAAAGTTTTATTTTGAAATAAATAATTAAATTGTTTGTTGACTGTATTATTTAGCCAATATGTATGAAATCTTGTAAACAATACAATATCTAATATCATTTGATTTATTAATTTATAGTGAAAACAAAGACACAATTTTTTTTTAATAAAAAAATCATATTTTGAAATAAATTTCAATTTGTTAGGGAAAACAAATAAAAAAAAAAAATTTGTTTGGTTAGCCAATATAGCCGTTAAGTCATTGTTTGGGTCAGCCAAACAGTACCTAAAACGGCTATAATGTCAATACGAACATCGAAAAATTTGAAAAGAAAATAAAATCATATTTTTTTAATTTTTTTAAACTTTTTTTTGCCCAAAAGAACCTTAACGGCTCTTTGGTTCAATTATTTTGAGGAAAAAAAAAGAGACCAAAATAAGCCAAAAATATGATTTTTAGCTTTTATTTCGACCAAACATGCCCTTAGGAACAATGTTCGGGCTGGTACAGTGTTTTGGCCCTGAGTAAAAAAAAATAAAAGAAAACATAAATCGGCCCACAGAATTGAGCCTCAATCACCTTCAGGGTCGCCCTTTTTGGCGACCTATTTGGAGACCCAAAATTTGTGGCCCACAAAATCGATAGGCCAATGGAGCAGCCGGTCTCCAATTTTTGGCCCAAAATCGCCATAAGCAACACCAATGGAGCTGCTCTAAACAAATTTACTAATCCTAAGACCATCTGCACTAGTCTTTCCAGATTTTGGCTCTTTAAAAATGCCACTTTAACTTTTTCAAGAGCCACGTCAACAACTTTTGCTCTCCAGAAATGCGCACTCCATCAAGCTCTCCGAATTCTCGCTCTCCAAAAAAAAAAATTTTAAATTAAAATTAATTAAATTTTAAGATTAAAAATAATGAATTAAAATAAGAAAATAAGGATTACAGGGAATAAGAAAATGAAAATTTAATTTTAATTGTCTTATTTTAAAAAAAAGTTGTGCAAAATTGAATTTTTAAAATTTTTTTTTAAAAAAATTATAGTCGTTAAGGCACTGTTTGTGTCAGCCAAACAGTGCCTAATGGCCAAATGCATTGTTTATGGCAGTAATTTAAAATTTAAAGCAAAATTTTTTTAAAAAAATCAAATTTTAAGGCAAAACGTCGTCATTTTGCTAAGGGAAAAAGACAAAAAAAAAAGATTCCTCGATCGGGCTTGGGATCACGATATTCCGCGAGCCAGCCCGCGAGCCGATGTGGGCCCCACCCATTTCCGCTAGCTCACTACAGTGCGCTTGGGCCTCCAAATCACCAAAAAAAGGGCTTTACCTAGCCCACTGTAGATGCTCTAAGTAGTAAGTAGTGAGACAAGTCTGTGTATAGATTTTCAATTTTAATTCAAGATTAGTTTTTTTTTTTTTTTTTTTTTTTTTTTTTTTTAATCTAGAAATTAGTTTTATTGTAACGACCCGCTCCACCACATGGTATGATATTGTCCGCTTTGGGCCTGAGCCCGTACGGTTTTGCTCTTGGGCTTCACCCCAAAAGGCCTCATACCAATTGGAGGTGACACACTTACATATAAGCACTTTACCTTTCCTCTACCCAGGCGATGTGGGACTGTGCATCGGTAGCTCGCCAGTGTGGTAGCCTGTCAGTATCTCTCGCACCCGCCCACGACACACTTGCCTACAAGGTCATCATAATCCACCCCTCTTGAAGGCCCGACGTCCCCGTCGACACACTTCCGGCTGGGTCAGGCTCTGATACCAATTGTAACCATTAGTTAAATAAATTATATATACCTATATATATCAATATATAATTATATTGACATATATACCCCTCCACATGATTTAATAATGAATTAATATACACATGTAATTATATAGGTATAATCATGCAAAGATAATTATTAAATATCCTCACAACCACGGACCTTTACCAATTAACCCAACAAGGCTCCTTCAAGCCCAGTACCACATCCGTTGGTCCAACTTCCTTTAATCCCAATTCAAATAACTTAAATACCTAAAATAATGAAATTAAATTTAATAGCTACCAATAATTAACAATAAAGTTACACCAACATAAAATCACGCAAATCAAATAAACAATTCACTACCTAGCATTCCACAAATCAAACACCATATAAATTTAACAAATAAAAGTACAAAATATAATTTAATTAAAACAATACAATTTACCTACGCACTTAATTAAATAAAACAAATCACAACTATCAAGCACCTAATTAAATAAAACAAATCATTTAAAAATAATAATAATAATAATATAATATAAATTAATTTAATTAATAAATCCTTTTTAAAATATCGGGGTATTACATTTTAACACATGGATGGGAATATTACTCTAATAACGTGAAACGCTTTCCACATCACATTCGGATAAAGAAATGAAACAAGTATATATGAGTAGGTATACAGCACGATCTAATAATTTAAAATTTTTAGTTAAATGACAAACACTCGATCCATTATGATGGTATCAAAGCCAGATCAAGTCCTTCGTCCTTCATCCGATTGTGAAAGATATTGAATCATGCCAGGTAGACAGAGTGATCCAATGACAACGAAGGCAAAAGTGAAATGAGCAGCATTGATAGGCTATGCTTTTAAGGTAATTGCTTCACACCTACATAAAAAAGGGTATGAGATCGGTTACAAAACCTCTCATAATCTTTTTCATTATATTTAGAACTCTCATTCATTTGAGTGGATTTGAATCATATTTAGAACTCCCCCGACAAATGGTTAGATCTTGTATGCAATTGACTTCTTTTACTTTACCATTTCATCCCTACTTTAATACAAAATACTCCTTAAGTTCTAAAGTAAGTAAGGTTTCTAACTTCTAATGTTTTAATTTGAGATACAACATTAAGCATTCCTTCTAAGCATTTTAACATTTTACGTTGTTAATTTATAAAATAAAAGGGTAATTTGCACTCACACCCACTGAAGTTTCAAATGCATACATACACACCCCCTATATACCTTTGACACCTGATAAAATTAGTATTTAGCCCTTTGACTTGGTCAACAAATACATAAAAAGTGTAAATTGCCAAATATAACCCTTTAAACTAAAGTTAAATGACCAAAATAACCTTCATCATTCTCTCTAATCTGTACCCTAAATCCTCACCATCTATCTTCACCACCACCAACAACCTTATCACAATGGCAAACTTACCATCGATCAGGAAACTTTGTAAGCGATTGAAACAAAATGATGTATCAGAGGGATTCTTCTGAAGATGTGTAGGCGACGGCGACACCAACTCAGCCGACGAGGTCGAAAAGGTGTAGGCGGCGACACCCAACTTGCCGATCTTCAAATCGACGTCTATCTCAAGACCCAACTCACCCGATCTCTTTGATTCACCTCCCAAGCCTCTCCGACTCATTCGTTCTCTCTCTCAAAATCCCTCTACGACGACACCATTCTTCGATCGCTGTCAAAGATGGAGTCTATACGAGTTAAGGCTCAAAATTTGATAACTCGGTCACAGATTGGGATGATCGAGTCAAAGAACTAGGTGATGGTGCCGCACGGGATAGTTTCGGTGCTCATGAATTCGAGCTCGTCACTGGTGGGGTGTGTGTGGGTATGACAGTGGTTTTGGTGGTTGTGTGTGTATGTGGGTGTGATCGGTGTGGCGGTGTCTTCTTTGACCCAAATGCAGCGTGTTTGATATGGCGGTGTTGTGTGGGTGGTGTATGGTGTGTTTGATGTGGCGGCGGTCTGTGGTTGTTATAGTGTGTCGGTGTGTGGCGGTGGTTGTGTGGCAGCGTGTGGTTGAGGCGGTGTGTGGTTGTGGTGATGTTTTCTTTGACCCAAAGACGGCGTGTGGTTGTGGCGACGTCTTCTTTGACCCAGAGGTAGCGTGCTTGATGTGGCAACGTTATATGGGTGTGGCGGTGTGTGGTAGTTGTGTTATGGCGACGGTGTGTGGTGGTTGCTTTGTGGCGGTGTGTGTGGCGGTCTTGGGTGTGTGGGATTACGTACAGAGTTAGGATTAAGGTTTGGGTTATTTTTGTCAATTAGTAAGTTTAGGGTAAATTTGACTTTTGAAACTTCAAGGTGTCAATGTAAATTAGTGCGCTGACTATCCGAGAAGTGGCATTGACCCAAACCTCAAGAGTTTGAATACAATTTACCCAAAAAAAAAAAAAAAAAAAAAAAAAATTTGAAAATGTTTGGATAGTTCTGAAATCTTATGATTTTGTATCTCAATCTTTTCAAAGGGGCACTTAAACATTTTTGAGAAACAAAAGAAAATAAAATTTATTTTAAAGAAAATAAAATAAAACAAGTAAAAAAGTAAAGCTGCATTTGAGAACACTGAATTGACATAATAAATTTAAAATTAAAAAATAAATTATTTAATTTAAAATTTAAAACACCAATTTAATACTACTATCAAAACATAAGACCGCCTCGGAATTCGCGCTGCAAATTATTGAATTCAAGTACCTATGTCACTGCATTACAATCCAATCGCTATCAATTATTGAATTAAAGTAGCTTTCCGGAAATAAAAAAAATTTATTGAATTAAAGTACACGTCATTGCATTTGAATCCAATGACTGTGTGAAAATTATTGTTTTTAATTATTTACACCTTCTGTTTTTTAAAGAATATTTATTTTTGAGATTTAACTTTTTAAGGTGATAATTTTTACAGTAATATTTTTTATTATATTGATAGTGAATGATTTAGTAATAACAATGAGATTATAATAATGTAATGATTTATTTTTTATAAATTTAATATATTTAATATAAAAGATTAAAGTAGTAATTAAAAAAAATATTAAGATATTTATTTTAAAACAACTAAAAATGGTGAATTTTTTTTTTTTTTTTTTTTTGTGAGAAGTTGGTATTTTTTTTCAAGAATAATTTCTACTGTATATTACATCACATCACAATGTGAACCCAACTCGAATTTCTGCATAGCCAGCCAACCTCGCGTGTTAAATCACTAGTCTCTCAAAGTCTCATTTCCACACTACACTCCCCGCCATCTTCCTCAAACTCTTCCTTCTTCCTCCACCGCCGGCCGGCATGCCGACACCACACATTATCCGGCAACTGCCTTCTCTTGCATTTCTCTCTATCCTCTGCTTCCTCTCCATACTATCTCCCTCCCAATCCGACGATCTTCAAACACTTCTCAAATTCAAAACCATTTTCCAAAATTCAAATCCACAAGTTTTCAGTACATGGACACCTCAAAACTCAATCTGCAATTTCACCGGAATCATCTGCGACTCCAGTAATCAATTGGTCAGAGAAATCAATCTCTCTGATCAACAACTTTTGGGTACTCTTCCTTTTGATTCAATCTGTGATCTTCAATCACTTGAAAAACTCTCATTCGGGCAGAATTTTTTATACGGCAACATCACTGATCACTTGAAGAATTGCACTAGATTGCGGTACTTGGATTTGGGTAATAACTCATTTTCCGGGAAAGTGCCAGACTTGTCTTCTCTAAGCCAACTCGAGTTCTTGAATCTGAATCACAGTGGATTTTCCGGCCAATTTCCATGGAAATCGCTGGAAAATCTCACCAGTCTCACTTTCTTGAGCTTAGGTGACAACCCATTTGACAAAAACTCATTTCCATTGGAAGTACTGAAGCTTGAAAAGCTCTACTGGCTGTACCTCACAAACTGCAGTCTTGAAGGGAAAATTCCCGAGAAAATTGGGAATCTTTCTGTGCTAGAAAATCTTGAACTTTCAGATAATCACTTGTTTGGTGAAATCCCAGAAGGAATCACGAAGCTTACAAGACTTACACAGCTTGAGTTATATGACAATACACTCACTGGAAAGCTTCCCATTGGATTCGGAAATCTAACCAATCTCATCAACTTTGATGCTTCAAATAACAGTCTTGAAGGTGACCTCTCCGAGCTCAAATCTCTGACCCAACTGGCTTCATTGCATCTCTTTGAAAACCAATTTTCAGGGGAAATTCCAGAGGAATTTGGAGAGTTCAAGTCCCTTGTGGAATTTTCTCTGTACACAAACAAGCTCACCGGTTCTCTTCCTCAAAAGATTGGTTCTTGGGCTGATTTAATTTACATTGATGTCTCTGAGAACTATTTAACTGGTTCTATACCACCTGACATGTGCAAGAATGGCAAGCTGACTGATCTACTGCTGCTTCAGAATAAGCTCACCGGTGACATTCCGGCGACTTATGTGAATTGTTCGTCATTGGTTCGTTTACGGGTGAACAACAATTCGCTTTCCGGGACAGTCCCGGATGGGATTTGGGGTTTGCCGGAGTTGGGTATAATTGATCTCAGTTTGAATCAATTTGTAGGTTCTGTGACAACCCATATCGGTGATGCCAAGTCTTTAGCACAGTTGTTTTTGGCTAATAATAAATTCTCCGGCGAATTACCGATGAGGGTCTCCGAAGCTTCATCTTTAGTTGCCATTAGTCTGAGCGGGAATCAGTTTTCCGGTAACATTCCGGCGACAATTGGGGAATTGAAGAAGCTAAGCAGTCTTCATTTGGAGGATAATCAGTTTTCTGGTATTATACCGGACTCAATCGGCTCATGTGTTTCTCTCAACGATGTAAACCTCGCCGGCAATTCACTTTCCGGGGAAATTCCAGCAACCATTGGTTCTTTACCAAGCTTGAATTCCTTAAACCTATCTAACAACAAACTTTCCGGTGAAATCCCGGCGAGTTTGGCTTCGGTGAGACTAAGTCTTCTTGATTTGTCAAGTAACAGGTTGATTGGCAGTATACCGGAATCTTTAGCTACTGGTAGCTTTGCCGGAAATCCGGGCCTTTGTAGTCAGAGTATTAGAAATTTCCGGGCATGTTCGTCAGATTCCGGCAAGACCACTCAGATTGGGACAGTTATTTATTGTCTCATAGCAGGAGGTACTGTCCTGATTGTGTCACTTGCAGGTTTCATGTACATGAAGTTTAGGCACAAAAATAAGAACAGTCCTATTAAGGGAGGGTATTCTTGGGATATGAAACAGTTTCATGTATTGAGTTTTGATGAACTAGATATCCTGAATTCAATCAAAGATGATAATTTGATTGGCAAAGGTGGGTCAGGAAATGTGTACAAAGTCACCCTTGGCGGTGGCCAGCATTTGGCTGTGAAACACATTTGGAGGTCGGATTCCGGGGACTGGAAAAGTAGCCGGAGCACCTCGCCGGTGCTGGCAAAGGGAAAGCTCCAGTCGCCGGAATATGACGCCGAGGTGGCTACATTGAGCTCAGTGAGGCATGTAAATGTGGTGAAGTTGTACTGTAGCATCACGAGTGAGGACTCAAATCTGCTGGTTTATGAGTACATGCCCAATGGGAGCCTGTGGGACCGGTTGCACACATGTAAGAAGATCGGGTTGGAATGGGTGGTGCGATATGAGATTGCGATGGGGGCTGCCAGGGGGCTGGAGTATCTGCACCATGGGTGTGATAGACCGGTGATACACCGGGACGTGAAATCGAGCAATATTCTGTTGGATGAGCATATGAAGCCTAGGATTGCAGATTTTGGGCTGGCAAAGATTTTGCAGGCTAGTGGAGTTAGGGACTCCACACACATCATAGCAGGGACACACGGCTACATCGCTCCTGGTAAGTTTTGCTCCTTTTTTAGTTACAAAGATTAGGGGTACAACTAACTCAAGCAAAGTAATTCGAGTCTAACTTGAAGTGCCTAAACGAGCCCAACCCAAGATTACTCTCAGGTTAAACTCAGACAGGTTCATCGGGTTTGGCTCGAATCGGTTAAATTCGACTTTTTGCTTATGTTGCTAATAATTAATTCGAGTTTGTTGTCCATGTTGAAAAAAAATATCATAAATGAAAATAGGAATATAAGAAAAAGCATAGATTTCTAAGTTAACACTAGGGCTACGTTCACGAAGTCTCCGAAATTTCACTACGATGAAGAGCAAACGAATTACAGTGATCCAAGTGATGAAAACCTCCCCTACTATACTTTGTAGAATTAGGACTATATAACAAGTAGGATGTGGATGTAAAGGGTAACATTGTATATTCAATTTAAATGAAGTCTGCTTGAACATTTTCAGTTTTAAGTCTAACTTGAACAACAAACGCCCAAGTTACATTGAGGAAAAATTGGTGGTCACCAGAGGTTAATCATTGTTCTAGATTTTGCATCCATTCAATTCCCTATAGTTGTCACATTGAAATTGATTATTGTTCTTCATTTTGGTGTTGAAGAATATGCATACACATGCAAGGTGAATGAGAAAAGCGATGTCTACAGCTTCGGAGTGGTTCTTATGGAGCTGGTGACAGGGAAGAGACCGGTGGAGCCAGAGTTTGGAGAGAACAAGGACATAGTTCAGTGGGTTTGCAGCAAGATGAGAAGCCAAGACAGCTTGCTTGATTTGGTGGACTCAAGCCTCTCCCAAGCCATGAAAGAAGACGCGGTGAAGGTGTTGAGAATTGCGGCTCATTGCACGGCCAAGATCCCGGCAGTAAGACCATCCATGAGAATGGTAGTGAAGATGTTGGAAGAGGCAGAGCCTTTTAAATTGAGCAGCATAATTGTCAATCAAAGAGGCTGACAGTAGTTAGAATGAGGAGTTAAACAATGGCAGCAAGTTTTAAATATTTTTATGCTTGGGAGTGGATCTGTTGGTTGCTTATACAGAATGAGGCACTCTTGGCAATATTTTGGGCCTCAACTAGTTGATAGTTTAATAACTCTCCAAACTTCAGTGAAGGACAATGTCCCCTTGACAAGGAAGTTTCCTAGTAAAAAGGATACAAATTCATAGCTAAGCTATTTTTCTGTAATTTTTTTGTATTTTTTTTTTTTTGGTTGGATAATCAGCTCTCAGCTTGAGAAAGAGAGAGATTCTATGTAATATAACATTAAGTTCTATTAAAAGAATGTTTTTTTGTATTCTTTCAGGAGTGACTCAATCTGGCCTCATTTGTATCCCCATCATATGGATCTCATTATTACTCCAAAAGGAAGATGATGTTGTGCTACAAGTTGGTAGTTCAAGGAGATGCATTTGAAGCTTATATCAAACATATTATACAAGAATATAGAATCAGCTATCCACAGTTTGATTCTCTCTCTGCCCTCTTTAGGCCAATCATATGTTCTCCTAGTGTTGTATGCAAGTCATTTGTTTTATACTCCTTTTTCTGTTCTTTCTGCATGAATTCACTCAGATGCATGGTACGTATCTTGTTATCATCATTGAGAATCAAAACTCTCAAATTCAATCAAGATATCTTCTTGTTATCTTGTTACGACAAAAGCAGTGAAACCGAGTAACAATCACCAAACACTATAGAAAATAAACACACCACACACAAAGATTTAGCGTGGTTCGACAAAGTTCCGGCGAAAGTTTTCACCATACCACAATATGGAGATTACAAATTTCCGCCCCCTTCTCACTCTCTTTTCTGCGATTTTCAATGTCTTTCGATCAGCCACTCCAAACCTTAAACGTCCTTATTGAGAATCAAAACTCCCTAATTCAATCAAGAAGGCTATTCATTTTCACGAAAATCTCTCTCTAATTCAACTGCTAAGGGTCCTCAATCTTCATTTCACGACTCAACTTCCTGAATATTCAGGATCTTCAAAGGACAATCTAAAATTAATCTATTTCACTATCATTTCAATTTTCTTTTTTCTTTTTAATGAATTACATCATTGAGTTGAACAACAAGAGCCGGATCAGAAAATCTTAATAACTAGTTTATCTACATCCAATCAGTTTGCAGGAACTTTCTTCGTACTTTGTTAGTTTTATATGCATTCTAAGTATTACAGCCATCATAAGAAGTCAGCATAATAATAGTTTTTTTTTTTTTTTGGGTGGGCAAGTCAAGAGTAATATTAGGAGATAGAGATACTTAAATGAACCCCAAAGAGACCTCAAAATATATTTGGCATATCAAAACACTTTGCTAAACAGCAAAGAGAGATAGTACAGTATTTTCTTAACAGACGACAGACAAAGAGGAGTGAAATAATGTATTGCATCTCTTTTTAAATGGATACATCAAATCATTTGGATAATCCAACCATCACACGTTGCATTAGATAATCCTAAAGACTCCCCAAATATCAATAAAGAAAATAAAAAAAGAAAATAAACTCAAGCAAGCATATGTATTGCAGTAAACAACTGATCGAACAAGAAGAAGATCTCATGCATACAACTGGGCAATTGAAGTGAGATTGGCTTACCAAGTTTCTGTGTACAGCTGGGCAATTTGGTACAGGGATTTCGGCTTCTTTGGAGGGGTTGTAGGTCTTCTTTCCTGTGCCGATGGCCTAGAAGGGGTAGGAGCACCACCACTCTCACTCAGCTTTCCTGCATTCCTCGAGTACGAGCCCGGCCCAACCCAAACCCAACCTCAACCCAACTTGGGTTGGGCCAACCAGATGTAATCCAAACCTGGGCTTCAACCCGTGAGACCCAATCCGAATATTCACGGGTCAGGGAGGTATACGGGTCAACCTGTTTTTTCTTTTTCTTTTTTTTTTTTTTTTAGGCCTAATTTTTTTCCCCTCTTTTTTCCTATTTGAATATAATTTTAATTTTTTTTTAAAAAAATATCATTGCAAAGGCAGAATATGTATACATTACTAATATTTTTTAATATTAAAAAGGCAGTGCATTACTTACTATTGAAATCTTATAAGATGACATAAGCACAATAAAAAAAAATTTAAAGAAAAGGTTCAAAATAGGCTTTGCCTATGAACTTGAATCCAAATATTTTTTGGATTGGGAAGGTTAATCTCTCTATATCCTACCTGCGTATTACACATATTCACCACAATTGATCCATAAAAAAATAAAATAAAATAAAAAATAAAAAAATAAAAAATAAAAAATAATTATAGCTTAATCTTAACCGTCCATTCTTACATCTAAAGGATCTCATGAAGCCCTAGAAACATTCAGCCCTTCTTTCTTCTCTCCTAAACAAGAAAATAAAAAGATTTGAAATCTTCAATTTGAGTTTCAAAAATAGTTGACCAAATTAAATACTTCCTCTATCCCAAAATAAGTGTCATACTTCCTTTTTTTGTCTGTTCCAAAAGAACCAAAATAAGTGTTCACCTTCCTTTTTTCAAACAATATTTAATATATTGTTTGAAAGAATATTGTTTGAAAGATGTGATATATTTCACATATTTCCAGATATGTCCTTTGAGTTTAAATTTCCAAACTTAAATATTCAAAACTTAAAAGGGCAAGTTAGTAATTTTTTAGGTAGACAATGTATGTCCCACATGTCCCTTTAAAAATTACTACTCTCCATAAGTGACACTTAAATTGGGACGGAGGGAGTATTTTTTTTTTTTTTTTTTTCACTTAAATTGGGACGGAGGGAGTATATTTTTTTCACACAATCAAAGCCAAAGAACACAGCCACCTATCTGCACCATTCAATACTCTTCGCCATCAATCAATTTAGGGATATGTTAAAAAAAAAAAATCACAACCAAGTAACACCCTTTGTCTACATCAATATTTTTTCCATCACCACTCCCAACCACACCATCACAGCCAAACAACCCAAATTGAAGATGAAACAATGGCAGCAGAGGCAGAAGTGGAGAAGGAAGACAGCGACGGTAGAGGAGGAGGAGGTAGGCTGCAGCATGTGGTGGTGGCTTCTTCTTTGAGCAGAAAGATTTTTTTTGTCGAGGGGGGGGGGGGGGGGGTGGGGGTTGCCGAAAGGACTGCAAGTAGTTGCGATTTTATGCCAAAAAATAAAATAAAAAAAAGAAGTTAAAAAATAAAAATCGGGTTGGATGGGTTGGGATCGGGTTATAACAGTTCTAACACGAGGCCAACCCGAATTTGGCCCAGGTTGAGAATTTTCAACCCAATCCCAATGCAAGCTTCTAAAAATGCAAGCCCAACCCATAATGTATTTCATGTATCGATGCTGCGGAAGTATGAGCCAGATCCATCTCACGTGTTGAGTTGGGTATATGTTGATATTGATGAGGATGTTTCTTACGATGAGGGACCAGTCCAAATTCTTGACACTCGGGAGAAAGTGTTAAGGGGCAAAACGGTAGCACTCGTGAAGGTTCTGGGGAGACATCATTGCATTAAGGAGGCTACCTGGAAACGAGAGCAGGATGTTCGTTCCACATATTCGGAGTTGTTCTCTCCTTCAGGTACGACTCGATTTCAGAGACAAAATCCTTCTATGTTGGGGAAGCTGTGATGTTTCTCACTTTTCTGAATTTTCAGACATTTTTCGCAGTTATGCATTTATTATTTTATGGCCGAGTTCCGCATTATTATTATTATTATTATTTAATGCAAGTATTGGTGTTGTAAGTTAAGTGTCATTTACATGAGGGGTGGTATGGACCTTTATTGTTGTGATGGCATTTTGGTGATTTAGAAAGGTTAGAGGGGTGTTTTAGCACTTTTGCATGGTCACACTTTTGACCATTTGTGAGCTTGCCACCAATGCATACACTTGGCCATCTATTTTGTATGTACTTGGCATATTCTTTGGATGTACTTGAATGATTGCAGCTATAACACTTCTTTCTCTTTTTTCTTCCTTTTTCCTTGTTCATTTTCTTCCCCGTAGTTACCCTCATTTGAGCTCAATTTTGAGGGCTTTGTGAAGTGAATTTGAGGTTGCTATGTGAATGAAAAATGTTCCCAAGAGAGTGAGCTTTCTATTGATGTAAAGTTTGTATCCATTTTCTCACTACTGGTTTTGAATTTCTCTTGGGAGTTGGGGTTTTGGGTGAAGCTCAAAGAGGATTCTTACTCCTCTTATCATCCTCACTTTGTTGGTGGTTTTAATCAATCTTTTTGTGATCTTTTAGAGGGTTGACAGCAAGGGTTTTATTATCTTTGAGGTAGGATTGCCTAACCCTCAACCCCTTTGCTCTTAGCGAGTCAATTCCCTACATTTTGAGCTTCAAAGTTGTATAAAAACTGAAACTGAGCCTTTTGTGCAAATTTTGAAATTTTTAGACCGAAATTAAATGCCTCTGTATATATGAGCATTATATGTTTTAAAGCTGATTTTTTTTAGCTTAACCTACGTGGTATACGTGCTAGTTGATTAGTTAAATTTTGTATGCTCAAAATGTTAAGTATATAAATATGTTTAAATTCCCTTTTGCAATGTAGTTATCTTCCTTTGCAAGGTTGAGCATATTTGTTATGATATTAAACTGCCATGCTAGAATTGTCCATGCATAACCTTAAAAACTGAAATTTGATACTATATTGGTATGGTGGTTTAGCATTGATTATCATGTGTAATCACGCATTTGCATTGGGCATTGATGGGCAAAATGGATTATTAAAAAGGAGGAGTTTTTGAAATAATACAAACTGATTTGGGGTATTTGTTTTGAACGATGTTTGCGAAAACTGGGCGGCAGGGAGTTACCCTGTGTCCGTGTCGTTAATGGGACCTAGAAGGGACGTAAGGAGTCGTCTTACACATGGTTGAGTCACTAGGCCCCAAATGACGCTAGGGAGTTACCCTACGTCAGGGATAGTTGGCCAATCCCCTTCTCATGACGTCGGGGAGTTACCTCAGGCCGAGTTACATTAACGATTTGACGATTAATGCATCAGATGGAAATTTTGTAAAACAAGGTGTGACATTGCATTGCATTTCCGTACATTTTTTGTTATTTTCCCAGGGCAAGCATGACCCCTTTACTTATAGCTATTCTTTGTGTGGATTCACAAAAATATTAAGGAACGTGGTTTAGGCAACTTCTATTTAGCCGTTGTGCTCACTCCATCCTTATTAAATTTTTTTCAAGACACGGGAAGGAAGTTGTCGAGGACCTCCCTCCACAAACTTAGATGGACTCAAACTAGCTTTTGTGACATCCATTTTGTATCAATGTATATGTTATATTCATGTAAAAG